TACCTCCCTCCCCTCCTTCCTTTCACCCTTCTACTCCTCTTCTCCCTCTACAGTTCCTGTCCTGGTGCGGGAGAATTGTCTGTATTCTGTCAATCATATTTTAATAAAACGCTGATTGGCCAGGCAGGCAGTATAGGCGGGAAAACCAGACAGGAAGTAGAGGTGATGCAATGAGAACAGGAGAATTCTGGGAAGCAAGGAGGTTCCTCTGCCATTCCTGCACAGACCACTAAAGAGGCAGCATGTAAGCTGACAGCTAAAAAAGTACCAAGCCATATGGCTAACATAGATCAGAATAATGGATTAAGATAAGTCATAAGAACTAATAAGTAGCCTGACCTAATGGGCCAATCAGTTTATAACCTTATGGAGTCCTATGTATGATTTTCTCTTTGGGGCATGCCGGCTGTGGGATGCCAGGTGGGACAGATATCCCAACAAGCCAGCCTTCATGTTACACTGTCCCTGCAGACAGCCCCTCTCCACACGCCCAGAGATTGATGCATGTTCTCCTGCTCAGCACCGCTATGGTTACATACATATGTGAAACTCAAGGTAGAACTACAAGCTGCCTTGCTTTGGTCAGCTGCTGACCGTGTGGTTGACTACCCTGGCATCAGGTGCTGGCTTCTGCTGGCTGGGGTGAGCGTGGTGCAGACAGGTATCCCACGACCAATGCCTACTTTCCTGGTTTCTGCACTTGCCACATCTTACCCGATTCCTGCATGGAAACGACATGGCTATATTTCCCCCATTTCCTGGTTGTCAGGAGAAAGTGGGAGCCATTGGCACAGGTGGTGGCCCTGCAGGTAGCTTCTGCATGTCAATTGCTCGAAGAACACACGGGTCTTTTGCCTGTCAGTGTGGCTGACACTACGCCAGCGGGCCATGTTTGCCCCACCTCTTTCTGATTCAGATACATGGAAGTTTTGAGATGAACACATTTAAATTTACCTTTTGTAAGAGCACACCAAGGGCAAAAAGGGGCCCCTCCCCTTCCTCTTCCTCCTTAACCCTCGCAGGTGCAGGGCAAAGGCTAGGTGCCCACAGGAAATGCTGAGCTGTTCCTGACTACTTCCAGTGGGCAGAGCTGGTCCAGCCAAGGCCCTGATCTCTAGGGTACCAGGACACCCCTCTTCCAGATGGGCCTCCCTGCCTGCTACCTTGGCCTCTCTGTGGCTTCCATGTCTCTCCCAGACTGGTGGAAGGCACTTTGGAGTGTGGGAGAGCCCAGAGACAGTCCATCGCCATCTCCCTCAAAGGCTTGCTCTTGTTTGAAGCTCTTTTCTCTAGACTCAAGCCTTTGGAATCACCAGCCCTGTACCTTCAGTCCCCCCACATCTTGGGGCCATTCCTTTCTGAAACAAAGCGAAAGCCACTTGCTGGGGAACCAGAGAGACTAGTGAGTGGGTGGGTGGTGTTCCCATGGTGTGACTCTTTCCTGGGGTCAGTGAGGGTGGGTTAGCCTCAGGATCTTGCTGAGCCCGGAAGCCGGCTGAAAGTGGTTTTATTGAGAGCCGGGACAGAGAAAGCTGGTTTACCTCTCTCCCTTTCCTGTGCCTCCTTCTCTCTAGAACTTTCTCCCTGCGAGAGGTGAAGGGAAGAGACAGACAGAAAAGGAAGGTGCACCTGGCCGCACAGGTAGGTCAGAACTCCTTGGCGCGGTCTCTGCATGCTGGCCCCGCTTCCCTGCAGTTCGCACGGCAGTAACGTGCCCTCGGAGGAGTGACAGTCCATGAAACTCCTTGTTTTCAGGATGTCACAGCCTTCCCAGGCCTGCCACCTCCGTGTGAGGAACTTCTCTGGAGTCAGGCCTATCAGGGACCTCACTGGGAGGGGAGGAGTGCTGCCTCCTCAAGCGTGTGAGAGCACGCCTGTCAGCAGCAGCAACCCTACAGCTAATTGGGGGGTTTTGTCTGGGAAATGTCAGCAGGACCTGTTGAGTCCTATTAGAAGCCATTGAGAGTGACAAATGACAGACAATCTCCACGCTTAATCTCTGCTTACCCCAGAGGCTTGATCAGGAGCTTCCCCGGACAGGGAGTGGGCTCTGCCAGGGAAGGCAACTGGCCATCCCCCAGACTAGAGGGAGTGGGGCCACATAGCGCAGTCACAGCTGGACAAAAATGCAGCTTGGGAGGGCTTGCATTTTCTGCAAATGCATGCAGCTTTTCAGGGTCTGAGGGTGCTGTCTGCTGGAGCCTCAGAAATCTGGAACCTGGGAGTTCCCTGGCAGGGCTTCCCTAGGTGCCACGGTTTGGTTCCAGTCCACTATGAACTGGAGACTTCCTGGGTCCTTCCTGGATCTTCCTTTTGGGCATAAGCGACAGATACGAAATGTACACATTAACATTACCCGGGACAGCATGATGCCAGGTGGGCAGAGCTGCAGGAGACGGGACGGGCAGCTCCCATCCCTCCGCCCTTGTACTGCATTTCCTTCTCTTTTGTCACTGCCCAGCTTTATCCGAGCTGCTTTCCCCATTGGTTAATTGAGTGAGGGTCACAGGCATGGTGGGGGCATAACCTCGGGGCAGAGGAAGAGTTTACCACTAAGCTCCAGGCTGGTGAGCTCTGCTAGGCTTCATTCAGTCCCAGGCTCTCCACTTGAGACCAAGGCCCCCCCCACTTGCCCATCTGGCAGCCATCAGGCCGTTCCTGGATGGCCCTGAAGGCCTAATGAATGGTACCAGTCACAGTTCCAGTGCTTATTCTATGGCAGGGCCTGCTTTCCTTTATCTCTCTGAGGAGCAGATCTGAAGTGTAGGTTTTTTAGGAACAGGGTGTCACACAGTTTGGAAACATCTGCCAAGCATCTCCATCTGAAAGGCAGATAGGGAAATGGACTCTGCTGTGGCTTAGAAGTGTTTATCAGCATTCTGAGGAGGATAAGCAGGAGATCTGAAGGGAAATCTTCTGGAAACATTGGTAATTTGTCCTCTCTGGTCAGATTATTTCTTCTTCCTACCAAGCATGTATGCCTCCATCCAGAGTCCAGGCTACAACGGGACTCCTGGGTCCTAGTCAGAGGCCAAGTAAAGACTTGCTGCAAGCATGCATTCATCCTGTGCAGGCTCGGGATCCGGAAGGCTGACAAAGGGAAAGGCATTCTCTCTCTGGAGACCAGCACACAGCCTGAAAGGCACCCGTAGACTTGATAATTCTACTTTTTAAATTCATTTTTATGTGTATGGGTATTTTGCCCGCATGTATGTTAGTATACAATGTGCATGCAGTACCCACAGAAGCTAGAAGAGGGCACCAGATTCCCTAGACTGGAGTTATTAGAAGACTGTTAGCTGCCATGTGGGTGCTGGGAATTGAAGAGCAGTCAGTGCTCCTAACCACTGACTCATCTCTCCAACCCCACAAGTTCTTTGAAATACACCTATAATCCCCCTACTGACACCAGGTTAAAGACAGGGATTTATATTTGCAAAATGCCCATGGGCTATTGGGTTTACATCTTGGTCAAGCCCTGAGTTGAGGTATGGGTGGGGCTGGAAAGACCCAGATATGGAATATTCATTGCACCATCTTCTCTAGCTGCCTACCTCAGCATCCAGGGCCCGACAAATGTTGACTTCCCCCACCCTTCCAAATGGGGCAGATTTGGCAAAACGGCCTGAATTAGGAACGAGTAGGGATGTACCATTCTTGCTTCCCTAGGTACTGGAACCAACTTCTCTTCTGTTCGTCACCGCATCCTGCCTGCTGCTTCCTTACCTCAGAGTGAAGTAAACAGATTCTGCAACTGGATACCTGAAACTCAAGTCTGAGTTTCTGCATGTGTCGAGGCATGCTCACCCCTGGACTTATGGGGAGTATATACAAATTCATCATACCTTAAAAATATTACCTACTCTACCAGACAGCCAGACAGCAGTATAAAAGCCACCTACTAGAGTATCTCACAGGGTATCTCTATCCAAAAATACTAGCCACTAAGTCCCCTGTAGAGGGTTGCCTGTCAGTGCATATGGCCACATATGTCCAGGAACAGCTGCCACCTAGCATCTAGAGATGTTACCCTACCTTGTGTCAATACCCTAGCAAAACCCAAATGGAGAGTGTCGTTCCCGCTGAATGTAGAGCTTTGACAAGATAGCGAAGTTGAAAAGCCGTCCATCACACAGGTTCTCATCTCTACATATGTGATACCCACAAAGGTGTGTGGACGTATGTGTGTGCGTATATCACCATCCTTTCTCTCTTTTCCTTCCAGAGTATCTTCTAGACATTTGAATTTGGAATCCTGACCGTCCTTCTAGGGTTTCTGTGAAGATTTGGGAACTGATGTATGGGGCTACTGATGCTTAGTACAAAGTAGTACTGATGCGTGGTACACAGTAGTACTGATGCGTGGTACACAGTAGTTCTGATGCGTGGTACACAGTAGTACTGATGTGTGGTACACAGTAGTTCTGATGCGTGGGTACACAGTAGTTCTGATGCGTGGGTACACAGTAGTAATGGGTACACTGAAGTAATCCTGAAGTCTGTGTTTCTTTGGGACCAGTGTAGTCTCCTTCAATCCCAGGGCATTTTATTGTTTGGGACTGGGCGCCACCTGGTGGCTGCTCTCTACTCTCACTTAGGACCCCTGGATGTGAGGCCCCTTTCCTTGGCTCCCTTGCCCTCCTTCTACATCCAACAGGGCAGGAAAGCTCTAGGTGAGGGCTGGGAACAAACTGACCGCTTCCCTCATCACTTCCTTCCTGACCTTGGACAGGCTGGAGTCAGGTCTGGAAATGGAAAGTGAGGCTTGGCAGTGAGGACAGAGGTCAGCCACTTCTTGGGGGGGGGGGGGCATGGGCCTCTCCTCTCAGACGCCCTGACCCCGAGGGTCCCCAAAGCCAGGTCCACCTGTCACAGATGACCCAGCAGTCATCCACAGAGATCCCCAGGCTCTTATGAGGTAATTTTATTTCTTCTCATTTTAGGTAAAAATAGTAAATACAAGATAATCTTAATAAAGGTAAAAATACATTATTTGGATTTTGTCGTTTCTAAACAATGACAACTTTTCTCTACAGTACAATTTTTGATTTAGTGTTTTTAAACTTTTTTTTTAAATAAACAAATAGAACTATTGAGCTATTAGGCTATCTGGGTTCTCTTCTGGCACTTAAGAGTAGGTCAGAGGCCACCTCCCGGTTCTGGTTGTGTGTATATGTGGCGAGGAGGAATGAGAAGGGACTCACAGGATGGGGAGGGTTGACTTCCCAGGACACAGCTGGAGTCCTGAGTGGGGTGGGAGGGCACATATGTGCATCCAAGATGGCCTTTCCCTGCCTTGACCACTGAGGCTGGATGGGAGGTCTCCTGTCTGTCTGATGGCACTTCCTATCTCCTTGGGGTAGCTGTTCTCTCCCAACAGCCTAGTTTCACAGTCCTGGGTCCAGGCAGGTCCTGGGCTAAGACGTCAGCCACATGCCCAGGACAGAGCCAGTGGATCCCCTTGTATCCCAGGGGAGCGGAGTGGAACTCCTCCCCAACAGGGCTGCGACTGGGACATCAGCCCGGCTTTGGAATGCTGGTAGAAGTCACAGGTGCCTGTCAGGCACTAAATGTCCTTGCCCTTATTCACCCGCAGGTGGTCTTTGTTTAAGTTCTTCCCAAATTTCTCACTCAGCTGTTGGATCAGGTCCGCTAGCTCGCCCGTAGCTTGTGACTTCTCTTCGAGAAGCTCATAGCGAAGGCTGGAGATGTCTTGCTTGATTTCCTTGAGTTCACCTGCAAGGACAGAAGAGGGTTCCTGGGTGAGCACGCAGAAGGAAGGCAGTGCTGTGCTCGGGTGCAGGTCCAGCCCCCTGGGGTGGGGGGAGGGTGTTGGGATCATGAAGGACCTGTGCCCACAGATCTCAGAGAATCAAAGTGCCACCCAGCTGACTTCCCACTATGAACTTACAGCCACCCTCCCCCATTCCTGGAAAGCCTATTCCTTCACAGCTTGGAGAGGTGGAGTTCAGGGCTGCAGAATTTCTGGCAACTGTTTCACACACTGCTGGCCCCAGTGTTGGTCTCAGAGCCGTTACAGGTAGATGTCAAGAGTGAGCAAGATGCTCGTTAGCTGGAACATTCACCTTCGGGATGCTCCGCTTGACTCTGTGGACATGTGCACCTGAGAGCCGGGCTCTACACAACACAGCCCCAGGGCTGGCCAGCTGCAGGGAGCAGCTTCAGTTTGTTCTTAGAAGCGCCTGACCTCCCCAGTTCGAGCCTCCCTGATGACTGCAGCTGCCTCCCCCAATAGGGGACCACCAAGCAGTCACTTTCATTTTCTGTTTCCATAGTAACCCACATGGTTAGAAGCCCATGGGGTCTGGCCTGTGGGAATCTCTTTATTAAGCACAAAGGGGACTAGAAAGCTCTTTCCTCATATTCTAGACACCAGACTTAATTCTGCAGGAGTCCACTGCTTGTGGGAATATTGTTCCTATCGCTTACATGGGTGTGCTTAAATATATAAAGTGCAGAGATCGGGGGCTTCATGAAACCCCAGGCTCATGGTATCATTTAAGTTACAATGACATCGGGGCACCCACCCACAAATTGTGTATCAGTTACCTTCATGTCTGTCACAGTCACACATCCATAAGGCTAGGAGACAAGGCACCTGGTGATCTCATAACTGGGGCCCACAAGGAGAGGTAAGTAAGTGGGCTGCCACCCAGCCTCAGCTCTGTTTGCTCAGAAGCTTAGATTGGGCATTGCTGCTTTTCAGACTGCATGCTGGGTACCCCCAAGATGAGGCAAAGTGTCACTTAGCAGCTGGGCTCTTTGGGCAGCACTTGTGGTCCCAGTGAGGGGAGGCAGAGTATCCCCAGTCATGGACAAGGGTCTTTCTGGGTAACAAGTATTTATCCTGGGTGTTGCATGCGTAAGGCACCCGCCTCTCACTTAAGAATCCTTACTGAAAGCAGACTGAATAATAACTGAGATGGTGAGTGTGCTCTAGATGGGAGCTCCAGTGTGCATGGGAACCACCTTACATTGTTGCAGGGATGCATCCGGCTGTGATCTGTGCACTTTAATCAGCGGGTACTGAAGAGAGATGTCCTCAGAGAAACACAGCTCTTGTTAGAGTCTCAGAACTCAGAACAGAGGCAGGATGGGCATTTGGGGCTGAGCTAGTGGCAGATTCTGGAAATGGGGTTTTGTATACATGCCCACACAGGAGGGCATGAATGGTGGGCTCCTAGGCTCTCCTGAATTCAAGGTGCTGGAAGCCAACTGAGGAAGCCATCGCTGTGAGTGGCAGACTAAGGTCCCACACCTCCATGATGTCCACATTGTCATCACTGGTGGTTGGACTGAGGGTGAGTCATGTCACACAGAGAACAGGAACTAAGGTGACATGTGGAATCATGTGCTAACCAGCTGGCTTTAGGAGAGTCCCCTAGATGGTCCAGGAGCCTAATCCCAGCATTCTTAGAGAAGATGGAGGTGGGTCAGGGCGGAGGTGGCAGTTGGTGGTGAGACAGGGTGGAGACTCTGAGAGGTGGGTCAAGTGCAGAGACCCCAGGGTGGAGCTGCTGCAGTGAGGAAATGAAGACCTTGGTCTCCCTGCCTCATGGTGAGCATCTGCTCACACTGGAGAGCAAGGAGTCCCCCAGAAAGGACACAGAACCTCAACACCACCACAGTCTCAGCCCCGAGAGAACCATGCTTGACCCCTGACTTGCGGAATCAGAATGAAATTGCCTTCGGGGCCCCACGTACCTTCGTTGACCTCGTCGTTTTCTCTGTCCACCTGGGCCTTCAGCACATATCTCTTTATGAGCCGTTTCATGATTTTCTGAAATGAGACGCACAGGCGGGCTCAGGGGCGGGGCGGTCAACAAGGGCTCCTTCTCTCTGGCACCCCAGGAGGCCACACAGAGCGCTGGCAGGCTGGTGCCTCTCTCCCAGGGTGCTCTGCCCGATGGAGGGCCTGGCTGAGCTCTGCTTAGCCTCCATACTCCCCAGGAGGTGAGATCAGGAGAAGCCAAGCCAAGGAGAGAGGGAACCTTGAATATATGGCTCTGCGTGAGGCCCTAAACCCACTTTAGCCCTGGCCAGACAGGGAATTCTGGGAAATCTTAGCCGGTCAGCTCAGGTAATTGCAGCCCTTAAGAGGTGGCAGTGTGCTGATCATGGCAGCGGCCAGGACCAAGTAGAGGAAGTCGACCCCCCCTGAAGAGTCGCTGCCAGTGTCCGTCAACCTCACTCTCAGCTGGGCCTCTGGGCCGTGATGGAGAGACCACTTCTCCAGACAGCCCCAGGTCTGACCCTGGCCCCAGCTTCCCGACAGCAGGTAAGTATTCCTTAGTGAACAAAGCCTGAACCACGCTGAGGGGCACCAAGACCAGTGCCAAGCGTCAGGAAGCCCGAGGAGCTGAACTTTGGATTTTGCCAGCTAGTTGTTCCAGGGCTCCTGGGAAATCACGGAGTTTAAAAATATTCTGAAAGCTGAGATTTCTGAGTCTTGCAAGATGAGCAGCATGGAAGAGGGGCCAGGGTTCCTGCTGCCGCTGCCGCCCTGGCCAGGGACCCATTCACCTGCTCATACCCAGAACCAGGAGGACGCGGCAGCATCTTTGAGAGTTCAGACACCGGCAGTGGGCCTGGGTTCAGTCCTAAATTCTCCCTCACCACAGAGAAAGGGCTAGAATGGCGTGCACAGTGCTAGAGGCATCAACGGACTTCCAGTCAGCTGATGGTTCTCCTCATGCCCTCAGCTGGGACTGCCTAGCCAAGGAGATGTCTCCAGACTGCGGTCCAAAGATTTTACATGTCCTGAGTTGTTTCTTTCACCCATGGCCCAGGTGAGCTTAGGCCAGTGAGTCCTCCTTTGCTGGAGCCTGTGGGCCCCTCTCCCCACAGCTCCATGGTTTGGATGCTGGGAATAGCTCAGTAGCAAGCTGCCCCGTTTGTTCTCAGATGGTGGTATTAGCACAGCAGTGTCTGAAATGAGGCCCTGCCTTTTCTCTGGGACATTTTTCTAGCTAGGAAGCAGGTTATCTACATCACAAGAATATGTACCCACTCCTTGGTACCTTCAGAGGAAACCAAATCAAACAAACAGAAAAATAAAAACTGCCCTTAACTGGCTCTACCAGAAGAGAATGGCAGTTAATCTCGGCACCTTTTATTATAAGGAATTCAGAACATTCGTCTGCTCCCCATTTTTAGGCTGATTCATAGTGTGGGACAATGATCTGTATTCTGTCAATTGTATTTTAATAAAATACTGATTGGCCAGTAGTCAGGCAGGAAGTATAGGCGGGACAACCAGACAGGAAGTAAAGGCAGATCAATGAGAACAGGAGAATTCTGGGAAGAGGAAAGTTGTTTGTGCAGACCTGACCTGGCCACAGAAGAAGCAAGATGTGACTGCCTTGCTGAATAAGGTACCCAGCCATGTGGCTAACATAGGCAAGAATAATGGGCTAATATAAGTTATAAGAGTTAATAAGAAGCCTGAGCTAATGGGCCAATCAGTTTATAACTAAAGTAGACCTCTGTGTAATTTCTTTGGGACTTAACAATTATGGGGACTGGGCAGGACAGAAACCACAGACAACAGATTCAAGAGAAAGGGAGAGCAAATTAAAGTTAGTTGCCTTTCAGGGCAAACCTCAATGGTTAAGTGTCCCTGCTGGGTGCACTCCCGTAAGCTGAACTGCCAACACTTCGGTGTCTGAGACAGGAGGACAGTAGGTTCCTGGGCCAGCTCCAGGTCTGGACAGTGACAGCCTGTCTCAGTGAAGCAAGCCAATAGTTTCTCCACTTCCGGTCTCCTGAGTGAAGGAGTCTAGCTGTTCATGATGCAAGAGGACAAGGCAGAGCCAGAAAGAAATGGGTGTGTGTGAATGATACCTCTTTGTGGGTTCAGCAGCCACCACAGTCCTGCCTCGTTAGTAGTTAGTATCCACTGAGCTCTGGATCAGACCACACAACTAAACTGAGTCCTCTAAAAATATCCCAAGGCTATGCTTATGATACTCCAGCACATGCCTGCCAAGCTCCGTTTTGAATTAGTGAGATCTAGTTCACATGCATCTTCTCGAAGAGGAAGAAGAGGAGGAGGAGGAAGGGGAGAAGAAAGAGGAAGCAGAAGCAACTCAGACATGTACCTTACAGACCATAGCATATCAGTCTTATTCATAATAAGTGAGCTCACTCAATCCCTCCAGAAACTCAGCTCTCAGAGGAGTGCACTTAGGCCCTCTCATCCATGTCCTGATTCTAGTCCATTGTTTGGTCTCTTGGCCATGGGAGCCAGGTTGGAAAAGACCTAACTAACCAAGCAGCCAGTGCTGAGGGAACTAGTAAGCCAGACTCCAGGTGGATGCTCCAATCTGCAGGAACTGCCTTTCCTTACCTCACAAAGCAAAAGGGCTGAGAAGATTAAAACAGAGAATTCTGCCCACCAGGGGACTCCCGAGGAAGAGATGGAGGGAGCCAGGCCCAGGACCCTGTGACAGAGCAAAGCGTGCCCTGACTGTGATTTTACAGGATTTCTGCAGATGACCACAGTTTACAAGGCCGACAGATCATGCTCTCAGTGAACTGGTTGCTCTGGGGAAGGCAGGGGAGGGGCGAAGGACTGAAGGCTGCAGGTTCTCTGCCCATCAAACGGTTGCACATCAGAAGTATGCAGCCTGGAAGGTCCCCAGTGGGCCCCAAAGCAGGAAAACAGCCTCAGGTCACCCTCAAATCCATCCTTTGGCTTTGTGTACTGCTGCTGGCAAAAGGACACTGATCCAGGCCCCTCCGGGTCCACATCCTCACCTTGGGCTTGGGGCTTTTGACAGATACCATATTAGAGACCACCAAGCCCCAGCAAGGCAGGGACTGAGGGGACTCTAGGGAATCACCAGAAGGACAGGCCAGTGCCTGGGTGGTGTGTTGTGGTGAGAGAGAAGTGCCCAGAGAATCAGCTGGTCACCACCAGCTGTGAGGCCTCAGCCAAAGAGAATTAGTTCTGTTATCTGTAAAATTTGCTGGCATCTGGGGCAGGGGAAAGGACACCACTAGTGTCCAGACTGCTTCCACATGACCTCTGGGGTCATCTCAAGACTAATTTAGATCCCGAATAGCCCAGCTGGTCCAGAGTAACCAGGTACAAAAGGCAGGGTGTTCTCAGTCCCGCTGCTGTCCCTCACTGTCCCTCGGCCCAGTCCCAGTGCCTCCCCCTTTCCTGTGAGGGCTACTCGAATAAGTAGCCTGGAGCTTTTCTCCAAGAAGACAAAATAAGGTGAGCAAAGCTTCTCAAGGTCATCCCTAGCCTGAGGCTGCAAACATCACAGCAGGGGTTTCTGGGAGACCTAAGGAGGGGGGAGTGGGGGGAGGCGGGACACTGAGATGGTGGTGGGGGTAGGCAGACAGGGACAGCTGTGAGGTTGATTGCTTTCATCTGGGTGCAGGACAGTGCAGGCAATCATTCTTCCTTTATCTCAGTAGCCGATTCTGTCCAAGATCAGGAGTTTCTATTAGGAGTTGCTATCTGTTCTGTGACACACAAAATCTGTGCTCTCCTCCGAGAAGCTGAGAAATGGGAGCCCTCCCCTGACAGAGGATTTAGCCTGTGAAACAGCTCAAAGCAGACCAAATGGGGCAGCCCCGATTCTGTGCACGATTAATTTCAAGATTTGCCCATTGCCAATTTTGAGCTCATGTCATCTGTTAAGACTTAAGTGTTTTCAAGGATGAGCTATTTCTTAATTGAACAATTAAATTCTCTCCAGTGCACAGCTGGCTCTGAAACCTGGGCGAGGAGATTCAACCAGAGACCTGTGTCCAGAAAGCGTCAGGTCTGTAGCGGTGCCCCGTGGGAAGGTGGCTCCAGGGACATGTCACCTTCTCACCTCAGCCCAAAGTGATACCCAGGAAAACATCTTATTACAGCCAGAAGAAATTATGGACAAGGATGAACCCGCTCATTGCAGGGAGTGGGAGGCAGGGAGAGAACACCCTGCGTGTCCCAACAACTACGCGGTAGTCGTCATTCATCACTGGAGCGGAGGCAGTCCTGCTTTCCAGAAGGCATATGGGGATTGCACGCATTAGAGGGCTCCCCCAAAGTTCTGTAGCAAGTATCTCTGCAGGCTGTCCATCTAAAGACAGGTTCAGTGGTGATCCTGAGATCCACCTGGCCACTGAGGGCACACTGGGAGTCACGGAGGCGCTACTCCTCCCCTTGTCCCCACCCCGCATCAGGTCCAGTGCCCCACTGCCCACTCACACAGCCAGACTGAAATAGCCATCCCTTAGGTCCCAACCACTGGCACCGTGCCTCCTCCTGCTGGTGTCTGCCTGGTCACTGATGCTGAGTACAGTGTAATCATGTCTGTCCCCTGACAAGTTACCCTCCTCTCCTGGGCCTTAGAGAACACCGGATACTGTTGCCATCCTGAGAGAATGCTAGGGCTCTGCCTTCCTTCTGACTGTATCTTCTGCTCTCCCCTGCAGCTTGAGACCTTTGTGATTCCCAACCTTTACCAGGAAGGCCCCACGGCTGTCTCCTTTTCCTGGCTGAGGTCTTGGTCAACTCCTCTCTTCATGAAGATGCCCTCACCTACCCCCCTACCCCAGCTAAATCTTCCTGGTTTCCACTAGTTTTAATCTTATTCTTTATTTCTTGGGATTTCTATCAGTTAGATGCAGTATTCTACCTATGTGTTTATTATTTGTCTCTTCCCCAGAGTAGCCTGGAGGTGCCACCGGGGTAGGAACCCTGTTGGCATCTCCAGCAGATGGCACAGTACCTGGCATATATCAGGTACCATGAGGGAAGCTGTGATCTGTGTTCCCACAGCCACGTAACTGAATCCACCTTAGTGGTGTCTACTTCTGCCCACACGTAGGTAAGGAGGGGTGGTTACCTGGTATCTGGTGGGTTTGCTGAAAGTGTTGTTTGATGTCAGGTTTTCGGAATTCCTCATGCCAGCCTGGTAGCGGGCCTTCTAAATCAAAGAAAGAAAGATGCATGCATACACGGCAGGGCTTGGAGTAACATCTGGACACAGAGGCGGTCTGTAGGGAACCTTCTGGGAAAGGATTGGAAATGGTTTGACGTCCTACACTGTTGCTCCTGGGAACTGAGTTTCTGTAGGGTTGTCAAAGTAAACGACTGTTGCTGGCCCATTTGTGTCTTCCTTCTAGAACTCCTCAGAGGTTTTGCTGAGACCACAGAGACCACAGAGGTGGGAGGAGGTGCAGGGAACTCTGTCCTCAGATCATCCTCTGGCTTCTTTCTGTAAAAAGCCATTCTGCCTCCACATGCTCTGGAGCAGTGGTTCTCAACCTGTGGGTCAGGACCCTGGGGGCAGGGGTTAAATAATCCTTTCACAGGGGCCACCGAAGAATGTCTGCATCTCAGATATTTACATTACAATTCATAACAGTAGCAAAATTAGAGTTATGAAGTAGCAATGAAGTGATTTATGGCTGGGGGTTCACCACAGCATGAGGACCTGTGTTACAGGGTCACAGCGTTAGGAGGGCTGGGGACCACTGCTGCAGGGGTTCCCTTCTGCTGGGGTCGTGTCTCTCCAGGCAGCAGGCAGCTTCCTGAACTGAAAGCATCATCTCTAAGGGACTTGGGGACATTCTGCTGGGTGGTGCTCTGCTGAGGTGCCTGGTAGATTCGGCAAGGCGATGGCTCCTTGTAGCACCTAATCTGGCTGGCTGGCTTTGTGCCTGGGGTGGCTATTGGAAGGAAGGCGTCAAACACACGGCCCCACCCACAATCTCCCCCCACGACCAGACGCTACCCACCCTGAATTTGGAGTTCAGCATGCCCATTTCCAGGTCGTTTTCACAGCTTTTGGCCTTAGATTTGCAGAGCTTTATGAGGCACATCTTGATTCTCATTATGAGATAGTAGAAGGATTTAGGGCTTGGCACTAGGTTAAAAGGAGCAGGTAGAGTCCTTCCTTCGTCGAAGTAAGAAAGCCAGAGCTTCGCTCGAGCGAACTTCCACTCCACGTCCGCATCTTCCTGTGGAACAAGAGAATCAGTCACACACACTGGGGGTCACAGCTTAACGTCTGAGTAGGCTGTGAACAGGGTTAAGGCCACAGTGTGTGACAGCAGTGGTGTCCTGTGGTGTGTACCCCCATCTGTGATGGCACAGGACAGGAGCATCTCTAAGACCATGTGCAGGCATCACTTTTAACACTCTCTACCTGCCTCGGTGTTCACGGTGGAAAAGCTCCCTCCCCCACTCCACCAGTGTGTCACCAGTGTCCCCACGCCCCAGCCACGATATGCCCCCTTCCCCACCCCCCTCTGGTGACTTCACCAGTGTGCTCACGCCTCAGCCACGATATGCCCCTCCCCCACCAGTGCCTTCACCAGTGTCCCCACTGGCAGCTCCTAAGAACTAACTGTCTTCACTGCAGTTTCGGCCTTCTGCCCACTGACTTCACAGTTCTGGCCACTACAGTATTGAGTTAGTCATTTTCTAAAGCAGAGTCCCCCAGAAATGCACTATGAGCCTGAGTCAATGGGGTGTAGAACCATCAGTATCTGGTTTAAAAGTCTCTCACTAACGATGTGGCTTAAGCTTGTGAATTCATAGTGTGTGGTAGCGCTTGCCTTCTCCATGTTGTACGGAAGCAGGCGTCAAGTGCACGCTTGTTTGCACAAGCAGTGGCTACACACCAAGGCACTCTGAGCCTGGCAAGGATGCATCTATGTGAGTCGGCTGGGATGGACCACTAGACTGTAAGTCCATGAACCGCAGGCGCCCTTTGCTTTCTACTGTTAAGGCCTCACATGTGACTGGTGTACGCTGGGACAATGGATGGATCTTGTAGACTACAAGCTTGGTGAGGAGGGGGTCACCCCTGCTGTAACAGGGAGACTGGAAACGAGAAGAAGGCTGGCATACCGGTAAGAATCCTGGCCATGGTCTTTGCCAGCTGTGATACTATGGCATCCCACTTAGCCATTCTGGCCCTCGGTTGTCTCATTTACAAATGGAGATAGCGCAATAATTACTGGCCTCATAGGTGGCTGGAAGAGCTAAAGGAGCTATGCATTAAACATGTCTAACCATGCCAGGCGCTGGCTAGAAAGAAATGCCTTTTACCTCCATAGCTGGGCACGGGCCTCGCTGCTAGCTTTCAGCCATACATACATAGTCTAGCCCATACTTTCTAAGGAGGAAACATGTGCTTTGGAACGCACAGTCTGGTCAGTGGCATGGTGGGATAAATCACTCATCAGCCCGCCTTGGACTTGATCCAGAGATGTGCCAGAGCTGAAAGAGGATCTGTGTTGGGGCTGGCCTAACCCGGGGTTCAGAGTCTGTTTGTGGCTGATATTAGTGCTGGATGGTTCTCCACCAGTTTGAGGGGGTGAAGTAGAGAAGAATAGGTCTGAGTCACAGTGGGAGAGGAGCTGAGAAGTGTGGATCCCTGGTGGTGGGAGTCCAACGGAGAGGGGATTTTCTCAGTTTTAGAAGAAGACATTTCTTTTTTGACCAAGGAACTCATTTAAATGCTGACACGAAAGGCCATGTGGTGAGCAGGAGGGTGAGGACCAGGCAGGGAGGCAGGGAGTCTCCTGAGGGTCAGGACCTCCCCAGCAGAAGGCGGTGGAGAGGACGGCAGTAGGGGAAGCAGAGCCTGTGGATTCCTACACGAGGTGCTAAGATCTAGTGAACGAGTCTGTAAGTGTCCTTGTAGAAGGCATACAAAGATTCCCTTGCCACGACCAAATGTGGTCATGAGCACCCCGCATTATCCAATAGTTCACGGCTCACTGAGACCGGCAGGTACAGCAGCTCTGACCTGACCCAGAAGTTGTTCATGGCCCGGGGGAGTGCTTGGCCCACCTCAGTGTTCTGCTCACCTCAGAGATCCTCCCGGTGGCACCCTGAGCTATGAGCTTGCCTAGTTCTGCACCAAGTCAGTGGGCATGGCTCAGCTCGGCCAACCTTCCTATGTCATAGCTATGAGGACCAAAGCTTGTTAGGATGTGGCAGACCTCTCTGGGTGGGAAATAAAAAGATCGATGGATTTTCTTCCAGCACCATTTGCCTCTTCTTACACTCGGGGAAACTGAGGCCCATAACGATGGGAAGACTAGATGGCCATTGCTCATTTACATAGGTAACCAAACATGTAAAAATGCTTCTTAAAAAGATGCCACGGGTCCATCTCTAAGGTGAATGCTGCGTTTCTCAGGGGGTGGGGTGATGGTGGAGGATGTGCAGCTGGTGCTTTAGGACCAGCCCCTACCTCCTCCAGCCCCCTGCCTCTTTCCCTGGCCTAGTGTGTGCTCCTGTAGTGAGGAACAAACTGCTCTGTTTGACCCTCTCTGATCTGATAGTCTGGAACAATCTTTTTGGGAGAGCGAGCTGAACGCTGTCTTCTCAAAACTGACCCACTGCAGCCCTAATCCCACCACCCTGGGATGGGACTATATTTGCAGACAGAACTGTTTTAAAAGGTGCTTGAGGTTAAATGAGGATCTAAGGGCAGGTCCCCGATAAAGTGGGACCGGTAGAAAAGTCACGTAAGGACACAGCTGGAAGGTTGCTGTCAGTGTGCCAAGAAGGGCAGCCTCACAGGGAACCATCTGCCCAGACATTTAGATCTTTTAGCCCCTAGGAAATACGAGGCAATAAATGCCTGATGTTTAAGCCACACAGTCTTGATTTTATTTTTTTTAAATTTAAATGAAAACCATATTAAATAACATCTTTGTTCATCTATATGAGAACCATGGAAATAATCATTTTTTATCATTTAAGAACAGGGTTAACCAGCAAAAGAGAAAGGCCCCGCTTGAGCCTCCTTCCAAATCCTTGCCACACAGGAAGACCGCGGCCCCATCCTTGACAATCCTTTTCTACTATTTCCCCTGGGTGTACGTATTTGTATCATCGTATAAATAAGAAATTTGTCTGTTTATATTGGGAGAAATTTAACTTGAATTTTTCATTTAATAACATCTGAGAAATTTTCTTCTAACTTAGAAAGCATTAAAAGGTATAAATTGAAAGGAATCCTGTCCATCACCTCCTTCCCCCAATTCTACCTGGTAACAGACAGGCATCCCAGAGGGGTGGTTCCTTTTTAATTCCTCTTAAAAAAACATGTATATTTGTGTGTGTGTGTGTGTGTGTGTGTGTGTGTGTGTGTGTATGTGTGTGTGTGTGTGTCTGTAGAGTGGGGCTATGTGCACATGTAAGTGCAAGGTACCAACAGATGCTGGAAGATGGCATAAGATCCCTGGGTGCTGGGAACTGAACTCCGGTACCCTGCAGGAGTGGTACCCACTCTTAATCACTGAGCCATCTCTCCAGCCCCTCCATATCTTTCCTATGGTCTCCTTTTTTTTTTTTTTCCTATGGTCTCCTTGAGAAGCTTTTTCTTTCCCAAACACACATGCAGTGACAAAGGGGAATGAACCCACACTCCCTTTGGTCCCCTCTTCCACAGGAGAAGAACGCACTATTTATATCATTCTACAACTTGCCTCTGTGTTCCTCTTAAAAGCAAGGCTTGGGGGCTTCACTGCCATAGTTTAGCTAAAATCGCCCATCTTTTCTGTTTGCCTGCTTCTGAGACTTAGTCTTGCCATGTAGCTGAGGCTGGGCTTCATCTTCCTGTTTGGCTGCTGTGTGCCGGGATGACATGCAGGAGCACTGATCTTTTAAGGAATGTACTACACGTATCTATTATCTGGTGTGCATAGGTGTCTGGTGCACACTTGCCGTGGCGCATGTGTGGAGTCAGAGAACAACTTGCGGAAGTCAGTTCTCCCTTTCTGTCATGCAGTGCTGGGACTGAATCAGGTCGGCAGGCTTGGCACCAGCTCCTTTACCTGCCCAGCTGCCTTGCTGCCCATCCCCACCATGCTTTCCTTTTCTTTTCCACTAAGTTAAACAATATCCCTATGTTCAGATTCATCACAATCAGTTTAACTTGATTCTTATTATTGCTCATTTGTGTTGCTCTTAATTTCTTGATGTTCTAAATAAGACTAAACCATGGCTTATGTATTTTAGATCCTAATAGAGGATCTGTTCATATCTTTTTTTTTTTCTGCAGGACTGGGGACTGGACTATGGCTTTGCCAGGCACATGCTACCACTGAGCTGTATCCCCAACTTCATTATTTAAAGTATCTCCTTTCGGCCTCTGCTGCACCTCACTGGGGATCACATCCAAGGCCTTGCATATGCCAGGTGAATGCTCTACCACCGCTGCTTCCACAGCCTTTATCTTTCTGGCAAAGTAGAATTCATCTTTAAAGTCCCCAAGCTTCCCGTCAGTTTCTCCCCCTTTGTTTTGCATCTTCTGTGCCCGGCTGCATTGACCCCAGAGCATGGTGATTTGATGATTGCCTTACCTGTCTTTTTAAGACTAAAGAATTATTTATTACTGTGTGTGTGTGATGTGCTACACATGTGATGACCTACACATGTGCTACAGTGCACATATGTAGGTCAAGGGACGACATTGTGCAGTTGGTTTTTTCTTTCCACTTTTATGTTGGTTATGGGGGTTGAACTCAGGTCGTCAGGACTCTATAGCAAGTACCTTTACCTGCCGAACCGTTTCATCAGCTTTTACCTGTTTTGTTTGTTTGCTTTTGCGTGTGTATATGTGTAGGGGATGTGCGTGCATGGATATATGAGTGTTCACACCTACGTGTTTGCATCTAGAGGCTGTAGTTTATGTTGGGTATCCGTCTCCACCACTCTCCACCATACTTGGGGGATAAGATCTCTCATTGAATCTGGAGCTCACTGACTGGCTAAGCTGGCTGGCCTGAGAGCTCCCAAGATTCTGCTGTTTCTGCTTCCCTGAGCTGCATATGCCACCATGCCCAGCTTTTTACACAGGTTCTGGGGATCCAGACTCAAGGCCTCAGACTTGCTAGGCAAGCACTTTACCCACAGAGCCATCTCACCAGCCCCCATTCTGTTTTTCCTTATTGGCCTATGAGCTCCTTAGTGGTGGGGACTTAACAGTAGCATTGCTATCTTACCAGTGTTCAACACAGACTCGGCACACAGTAGGCTCTTCATAAGAAGCACAGTCAGGCAGAAGGGAAACAGGCCACTCTTACGTGCTATGGGCATGCTGTCTGAGTGATGCACACTCCTGGCTCCTTCTGCCCTCACTGGGCCCTCCCACATGGTGGCGGCAGCAGGGCCATGGGGCAGATGGACAGGAACTTCCAGTATGGTTCAGGAAGAAGGCCTGTTACTGTCTTAGCTGTGTGTGTGAGCCATCAGGTGTGCCTTCTGTCTTTGCCCAAGTGCTGCGATTGGCCAAGAAGGGAGAGCGCTGAGCCGGCTTACCTCGATTTCCTGATAGGAGTTATTGATCATGGCTATCAGCATGTTGAGCAGCACGACTACCATGGTGACATTATACACGCCGTAGAGCACGTAGCCAATGTTCTCGATGAATTTGTGGTCGTATTTCAGCACCACCGAGATTACCTCAGACAAGCCAAATATGGACCAAAACAAGGTCTTAAAGCTTTCTTCAACTCTACGAGGAAACAGACAGTTCTTTCATGAGTCCTGAACTGGGTTACAGTTTTAAAATGAAAGCTGTCCTTCCATTACCTGGCTTTAATGGTCCCCTGGAGTTGTGCTGTGGTGGGCTGCCGATGCCCACATTCTGAAATACTGAAATACTCAGATTTCTAAGAAGACACAGAAAGACTCTTACAGTACGGCGATTTCTTCCTTCTAAAATTCAGTTCTGCTGGGGTTCCTGGCTGAGACACAGTTTTTATCTGGCTGTAATTAATCAGACAGCTAAAATTAAACACAGGGCAAATGTTTGCCCTTGTACCTCAAGAAAGCACACTATTCCTTCAGTGGACTCTCAGTTCTTCTCAGGCTGCACAGTCTGGCCATGACCGTGTCCAACAGGCTGAGCTGGCATTGCTGCCCCACACTTGGGCCTCATGATGCTTGGTGGCAGGCTCATGTTTATCTCCATTTCTTACCTGAGCCAGTTAATAAACAAAGACCTATAAACCAGGGTGGGTGGTGTGGTATTCTGAATGCAGCTGAGCCCCTTTCATAGGGAGTGCACTACTAGGAGGTGTGACTTTGTTGGAGTACTGTCTTGTTGGAGGAAGTGTGCCACTATGGGGGTGGGCTTTGAGGTTTCCTATGCTCAGGATACCACCCAGTGTTTCAGTTGACTTCCTGTTGCCTGTAAGATGTAGGACTCTCAGCTCCTCTCCAGCACCATGTCTGTCTGCACGCTGCCATGCTCCCCATCATGATGATAATGGACTGAACCTCTGAAACTGGAAGTGACTCACCCCAGTTAAATGTTTTCAGTGTAAGAGTTGTCATGGTGTTTCTTCACTGCAATAAAAACCCTTAGATGGTTAGAAAAGAGGCTGAGGGAAATGTCCACATTGTTCTGATTCTGCAGGTGTCACAGCTGGTGAGAGCCACGCATGCTCCGAGGGTCCGGGGAAGACCTGGCCTTTAGGAGACTACTCTTTGACCCTTTGAAGTTTTGAATACAGTGGTTTCAGTCCCCAAGCACATTCCACAGAACTGACCTTCTGGCTATGACTCCATATATTATCACTTAGAATCCAATAAAAAAGCTAGATTGTGATGGGATGGTTTAGAATATACTTGTGTATTAGGAACATAAAGTTCAACTCTTCAGTTTGCATCTGGTTTCACTGCCTTTATAAGACAGGACTCTTTCTCCCCCTCTTTTAACATTTTAGATTTTCAGCACTCACCCACAAATGACCAGGATTAACTTGAGCTCACCCCATCTTCCCCCAGGGTTTCTTAGGCACTGAAATTTATTTGAGAAAGTGTACAAAAATGCTAGTTTCCTAACTTGGGCTAAAAAATCCACTCTTGCCTTGCATGAATTTACAGCTCCCTTGTATGTGATAATATGGGGGTGTCTATGTGTGTGGGGTGGGGGTTAGGGTGCACAGTCAGCAGTGTGGCTCATTCCCTGTGCATCCCAGAGCCGGAGAAGCTGGTATCCGATGTGAGTTTGCCTTGCTATTGCTTGTCTTTTATTCCCTTCGAAGCTGTGAGTTTGCAGCATTTAATCAGGAATTCAGTAGCAGATTTTTTGAGACAGGGTCTCACTAGGCAGCCTTGGCTGGCCTGGAACTCACTGTGTAGATCAGGTTGGCCTTGAACTCAACCAGATCCGTTTGCGTGCGCTTCTGCCTCCAGAGGGCTGGGGTTAAAGGCCTGCAGCACTATGGCTGGCTCAGTAGCATAAGTGAAGTGAAGACTGGATACAGAGCCATCTCTGGGAACATGGTTTCCTAACACAAGATGCCAGGTCCATTCTGTATGAAGACATGGTGTCACTGTGTACGAGGAGTCACTGAGGTACCATTTCCTGTTATGAAGGAATTACTCCGTTCCCTCTTTATGGAAAGGAACAAGGGCATAGAGAGTCCCACACAGTGGATGAGCTCCAGATCCTAAACTGGAAGGCACCAGCCGCTCGCCATCCCTTGCACAGCTGATCCCCTCTCACAGGACCCAATGAAAAGTGCAACACACTGGGCAATCGGTTCTGACCCAGGACTGTGCACTTGTCCTGAACAGCAGAAGTGGAGGCTAATGCTTGTGACAGTGAGAGCTTTCACCCAGACTCTGTTCTTTACTCTGGGTCATCCAACAGGTCCCCAGCTGACACCAATGAGTCACATGGAACACACGCAGGACAAACCATCTACATTCCAGTTAGGGAAGACGGCTCAGATCCAGCATGTACGGTTTATCACTATGAAGTCCACCTCTGAGCCGCCCTCATCTAGTCCCAGCTCCTTCATCTGGGCATTCTATCTGTAACCAGAGGAAGCAAAGTGGCCCACCTAGAAGACTATGTTCTGGTGAGTGTGTTCACATTATGGTCTGTTGGTGAGTGTGTGCACAGTGTGGTCTGTTGGTGAGTGTG